AATTGCTGGTACTCCAGGTTTATGTCAGTGTATTTTCCTTATGGGTAAAAAGCCTCATGCTGGGCTTGGCGAAGCTGGTTCTATTTAATCCACTCTTTGGAGTTTTCAGGCATTCCCACGATAGCTTTTGAGTCACTGTGTGGGATAAAGGGAGAGATATTTTAAGAACATGTTTACTCTCTGGTATTGGAAGGGATCCTGAGTTTAAATGTTCCAAGAAGCCTGGGTCTTTCCTCAGCAAACCTCTTCCCCAAAATAGACTGAGGGTGGAAGATGAGTTTCTGTCAACATCTCAACTTGAAAGATCCATTCAAGAACAGCTTTACTTTAATTCCTGCTCTGCCTGTGGTACCCGGAGAGCTGGCAAGACTTTTCTAGATCTTTTGCAGCCTCTGTGCTCTCTTAAAACCATGGGACAAGACATATGTTTTCAGCTTCATTCAGTTTTTGCCCCAGTTAAGCACAAAAGGAACCTTAACAGGGCTTCTCTCTCTCCTTCTGTTTCAGCATTGCAGTATTTCTCTAGTAAATGTATGATACTATTCTCATCCTGTCAAGAACCAAATATTTCTATAAAATTAGAAATGAAATGAGTATTAGCAGTGAAAACTTTTTTGTATTGTCACTATAAAAATATGCTGAAGACATGCACGAATGATCAAGCAAATGTAACTGAGCTACTGGGAAGTTTAATATTGGAGATGTATTGCATTGACTGACAGTAGTATTAAATGGTGAACAGACCTCTGCAAACATTTACTGTCATTACTTTTCACTACTTACATTCTTATGAAAGAGGAAGCTGAGAACAGTGCTACAGAGCCATAATAGATCATCTTAAGTGTCTCCCAAGCCCTTTCCTTTGTCTAACAGGACAACAAATATAGAATCCTTGGGTTGGAAGGGACCTTAAAGCCTGTCTCCAAATCTTTTTACTGTACAGGCTTCAAAGACAGCGTGGACCAATCTGCATTAGAAAAGACTCATTCCTAATGTCGATAGAGGAGAATTGTAGAGGCAGCGATGGTATTTTCCATTTAAATCAATAGAAGAAGTTTCTGTCTTGTTTAAGAAAATGGACTGTGACTGCTGGGGGAGTGGGAAAGGAAATAGAGATACAAATTAGATGAATAGCTAGAGCTATAGTATGACATAAAGGTCTAAAAATGGGATAGGCTTATTTGAAAATGCAATCCTCAAATTCCCTGCTTACCCTCCCAATCACCAAAGATTTACTGTAGAATCTTTTGAAGTGTTATTTGCCAGTCATCTCATGCACTCTTACTTTGCCTGAACAGCAGTGTCCTCTGTCTTGGCAGGGATGAGCAACTAAATATTTAGCAACTAAATATTTAGAGAAAGATCTCTCTGGGGACTTCCTACAACCTATGTCTCTTAATTTGGTAGTAGTATTCAGAATGCCCTTAGTGCAAACTTCCAATATTAAGTGATCACCCAAACTCTGAGTAGCTTTTGATCCCAATACAATTATTGTTTTCTGAGGAAGAGAAGGCTCCTCTCAGTCTCCAGAAAACGCATCCTGTTCATTTGAGCTCAACTTTAGAGGTCTCACATTTCCATGAGGAACTGACGGTGCCTCAAGAAGACTTAGAGCTTCACAGTTACAAGCTTTCTAAGAAGTGAGGGGTGAGGATATAAGAACTTGCAAGCAAAGCAAGGAATTGAAACCCATGTCTCTCTGACATCCTAAATGATAATTTAATCTCCAGCTCTTGTGTCAAAGCATAGGCATCACTCTTGCCAGTCATCTTTTGAAAGAGATGAATTCCCCTCTTATTATTAATATATATTTATATATTAAAGCTGGGCTTAAGCTTCTAGCCTGTGGGTTTGGGAAGTGACTTTTACAGCCCAGTAAATTATGAAGCACTTGATGTCTGTGAGATCTAGGGCACCTGTCGCCTTTATTTCTTTTTGGCTGGTTTTGTGGGCATCTGCTCAGTGAACTGACTCTTCTAAGGGGTCAGATAATCTTGTAATCATTTTAGACATTAGCCTGAGGCCCTGGTTTACTTTCAGGACTGGGGCCTTAAAATTAGGTGTTGCATAGCCAAGCATTGCATTGCACATATCACCTCATAGGTAATTCCCAAGACTTCAGATAGATATTTGAAATTGGAAAGAGAACTTTTAAAATGCCACCTACGATATCTTCCAGTCAATACAGGGACATTCTGCACTAGTTAATGCAGTTTTCTAAAATGGCAGTTAAAAATGAGCTCCTTATTAGAGAAACAAAAGTAAGACAGACTGCAGATCTTGTGAAATGCTTTTGTTTGTTAAGAAAGCCCACTTTGTGGTGGGAGGGGACAGAGTATCCTCCAACCATCACAGCTTCATCATATGCAATATTACCCCATAATGGTTATTATGCCTAATAGTCGCGGACAGCAACTTGATTCATCCCAGGAAGTACACAAAGAAAAGCAGCACTGCAGTCTCTAAGATACGAAGCTTGTGCTGTTAAATTTGCCATGGATGGCTGGATTCATCACTTTGCATGTGTCTTTGACTGATACATCATGCTGGATGCTTTAGGCAAGCACACACTAATTAGTAGAACAAATAGAAAACCCTGAGGATGCCCATGCTTAATGACATTGCCCAGCTTCTAAACCGGCTCTGCGACAAATTACTTATTTCACGGTTGTAGGCAGCGCAAGTTAATTTATCTGTATCAGTTGCTGAGTTGAGGCATTCAATTTTAACAAGGCACACTGTATTATACCTTTCTAGGAAACTGTCCAGCACCTTAGCTTTTAACAAAACAGAAACTAGAAGAAACAGGCCAGGCCAATTCAGGGATAAAAAAGTAAAAGATACAGAATCTATTTTAAATTTAAAGAGTCAACAGATGCTGATGAATTAGTTAACTTTTAATTAGTTTGGTACCATATAAAACCCTGAAAATTGTGAAAAGGAATCAAACCAAAATGCTCAGAGGAACGCTGAGTTAGAACCCAGAGCTCTGGCTTGGAACAAAGGTGGATTGTGCAGGACCATGTGCGGTTCTCAGTGTGAACACTTCAGTCAGGTAATTGCTTTTCAATCAATCTCAGCAAAAGAAATGAGAAGTCTAGTATGGAGAGTGAATCACAGGCATCTTACACCAATATGGTTATAGTTGTCATTTTCAGTTGTGTATTGGTTTGCTTTCCTTCACTGATAAATTTGACTGAACCTGGATAAAGTGCACCTTGTTCTCATAAAATGAATGAGGTGAACATAGCAGTCAAATGATACGAGTCAATGACATGGCTGAACTGTAGTCACTTAATTACCTAAACGAACATGATTTTCAGAAGTGTGCAACTAAATATACAATAACAGGTGGATGAGAATTTAGCTTTTAACTTTGTCATTACTAAACATATGTTTTGAGGGTCTATTGGTTTATATTCTTTATATTTTTGTTTATATGTTATATGTTTACAGACAAGCTTACAGTAGCAAAGCTCTTGGCGAGTATCCTTCCAGAAAGTAAAATGTTCAGTGTCCTAACAGAGACCTGGAAGAACACCTTTATTTGGCACATAGCACTAGGCTGTTGCTAAACAACTTCTAATGGGACGTTTGGAACCCAAAATCTTGCAAATCTGATACTAACAAATGCCTTAGTGGGCACCAAGAGAGTTTGAAGCTGCTTCCTATTTCCCATATTTCCAAGGGAGTTGTGCTTAAATGCATTGCATTTATGACTCTGCTACAGTCTTCAAGGCAAGGTTAGACAGAGCCTCGGGCAACATGGTCTAGGTGGCAAGGTGCCCTGGCCTATGTCAGGGGCTTGGAACTAGATGATCTTAAGGTCCTTTCCAACCCTAACCATTCTATGATACTCCCAGAGATGGAGACTAAAAAGGAGTTTGCGCCCTCTTGTACATCTGGTGTTCTGAAAGTACCCAGGTCCTGATGGAGGACATACCTTTCCAACTTTCTTTTCCACTTATAAAGCAGTGGAGAAAGGGAGAAAAGAGCAGCACCTGGGGATTGAAGCCTTGGGGATCCTGGGCTGTCAAGGTTGATGTGTTTTCCGCTGCCATAAATTCCTTTTGTGGCTTTAAAGAAGTCATTATGTGTCAGCATGCCTTGTATTAAGGCAAAACAATGAGACCTGCTCCCTCCTTATTTAATCCTGTTTGCATCTGTCTGGGTTTTTTCAATATCTCCCATGTTCATGGAGGTGAACTTTGTTCTCAGCTGTTGTGTGTAGATGGTGTGCTTGCAGGCACACTTACATAAACACAGGTACATCTACATACGGGTACACTTACACAGCCTGCACCGTTGGTGTGCATGCTTGTAGGCTGGGGTAGGAAAAAAATCTCATGTTTCTGGCACATCTATCTCTCTGCATCTCTCTCCTCTGTGGCACTGAGATGCTTACCCCCGAGAAGCTGCAGTCGATGGTCCTTGCTTGTCGAATGCAAGCTGTTGTCTTGGTCCATCTGCACTGGTTTAGTTGATAATGTTTATCATGTCTGCTGGTTTGGAGAGAGATGGGGGAGTGGAAGAGTGGGAAATTCTTCGGGGCTTGTTATCCCTGCAGTAACTATAGACTGTGGCATGAATGTGGGTGATTAATTTCAGGTCTGAGGGCTCAGCCCGAGTGGCAGCCTTTCTGCCGCTGGATGTCTGGGAGACAACAGCGTCCCCCCCTGCTCCGCTCCTCCGCCGAACACAGTGAATTCAGCTAGGCTAAATAAACACTGCCGAGCCGCTAATCACACGCTCTGAAACAAACCAGCACTTCACTTCGGGCTCTGGGCAAGATCAGACGTACCTCCTCCTCCACTCCCTCTCCCCTCCCTCTCTGCCCCCTCCCTGCTTTTCCCCTCCCTCTCCCCTGCAGCCGCCCAGCCTGTCCCTCCGACCCGGCAGCTTCACGCTGGGGGCTGCTGCCGGCTGGGGCTGCCCGACCCCGTCCGGCCCGTGCTGCCCGCCGTGCCGGTCCTGGCCGCCCCCCTTGCGGGCGCCGCCGCCGCCGCCCCGCCGGTCAAAAGTTGTGCGAAGCGCCGAGGATGGGAGCGCATCTTCAGCCTCTCGCCCTGCGGCTTCTGGCGTTGACTTTCCCCTTGGTGGCGAAGGGCTTTTCTGACGAAACCTTGGAGAAAGCCGCGAAATCCGAGGGATATTGCAGTCGTATCCTGCGAGCCCAAGGCACCAGGAGGGAAGGGTACAATGAATTTAGCCTCAGGGTGGAGGGCGACCCAGAATTTTACAAGCCTGGGAACAGTTACCGGGGTAAGTTGACCATCCTCTACATCCCCTGTGAACGACAGTGGTCAGGACAAGGGGCTCAAACTATAACGTGTCTCTGCCTGTCATCTGTGGATCCCTTTTAGCGTGCATGTGTGACTGCGTGGGTTAAAACAGGGTAATATATTCCCACGCATTACTTTATTGGGGATGCTTTCATGACAAGTGAGAAGGAGTTGGATTTCACGGTATCACTTTACTCCCAGCCATTAACTCAGTATTGGGAGGAATTTCCTTTCTTTTATGAATTCTCTGTACCGGCTCAGCGCTAGCACAAGATCACAAATTGATGTAATACAAACCACACTCTTCCCCCGTTTACCTACTTCTCTAAGATTTCTTCCTATCCCTTTAAATGTAACACAGTGAATAGGGGAAGCTTTAAGATTCAGCAGGAAGGAAACTCGGAGCTAGTTGTTCTTGCCCTGAAATAGGAATGTTAATATAATGAGTTAGCATATGGGCAAACAGTGATGCAGCACGCTGCCAACTGCCCACATTTTCCACTTATGTTTATCCCACCCCCGTCCATTTTTTTTTTTTTTTTTCTTTTTTTTCCGGGGAAATGAACAGATGGTTCAAACAGGAAAGAGGCAGGGATGGTGCTAATGACCACTGCAAATAAGAGATGAAGGCATCGGCTCTTTGCTGAGCAGTTCACATGCAATCCTCGAAATTACCTTCCGGAGTACATTTCAGTGTGTTTTTCTAGTTAATAGGCAAAGGCAGTTTTTGGTCACTTGTCCTGCCTCACCATATAATACCTTTAGAAACAAACCTTGGAGCACGTTGTTAACTTCGTCTTTTAAAAGCACTTTGAAAACAATGTGGATGTTTTTAGGTACCAGAGCTGATGTACTTGTTGGGCAATATCTACTTTTTGGAAAGCAAATTTTGAGACTTTCTTCTAAGTATTTCTCCTTACCTTCCTTAGATTCAGTGTAAAGAGCAATGTTTTCCCATTGCATGAACATAGGAACCTTAGCATAGACAGGGAGGAAAAAGTGTGCACACAGCATAGGCACCATGTTCTCTTAAAGGCTGAAAAATACATCTGCAGCAGTGATTAACTGTTTTGAGGATCATCTTGTAACTTTTCATTACTTTAATTTTTATTTTTTATTTCGCACCCCTCCTTAGGAATTGTTTAATTTTAATGTGGTGTGAGGAAATGCCCATTTCCCACAAATTGGTTGACTATTGCAGGTGTTAGGATTAGTACCTTGGGTCTGAAAGATTTCATCTCGCATGCCTGCTTGATACATCTAAGAAGGGTAAAGATAAGTGCTGTTTTCTTTGATAGTGACAATTGTGAATGTTCTTAAAAAGTTTTGGAGTTTATTTCCGTAGAAGTGTTGTTGAATATTTTCAGTCATCTACAGAAGAGGTTTCTATTGTGTGGAGCCATAGGGGGAAGGAAACCCCCGATGAATTAGCGCAACTCATTTTGTAGAGATACTAGGTCTTGGCATTAGGAACTCAATTAATAAGATCATATTAGTATATTGTAGCTTCTTGGCAGTGAGAAAATTACAGATAATAGTAAAAAGTAAAAATGTAGACCAAATATGTGCCCAAGATTTTGGTACTTAGTATTGAAGTACTTAGAGGGCACATAAGATTATCTAGACAGACCTTTAGCAACACTTCCTAAATGGCGCGAAGAAGTAAATGTTACCATAGCATACATGTTATCTATGGCAACAGTTAAACTGCACAGCATTAGAGGAAGTTTCAGAGCTCATTCCCAAAGGAGTTTGTACAGTGCAACTGCAACTCTATTACTGTCTCATACAAAAGCTAGAAAATCCAACTAATGATAAAAAAAAAAAAAGGTGGGAGGTTTGTGGGGTTTTTATCTGTAAATTACTAGATGCACAACACTGAGGAAGTTTTGCACAACCATTGTTGTGCTGGAGCCAAATGTGCCTGTTTCTATGGCCCCTGCTTGATTTAATGCAATCTGGATCCTTGGCACATTCCCTAGCAGGCTCCTGGAATAAACTAGTGTGTATGCCAGGTGGAGAACAGAGGATTTAATTGCACGTAGAAATGCTGTGCTCCACCAAGTTGATGTTATAGAGGCATCCATTTATGTTCGTAACTCTGTTGATCATTGGCTGCTGAGACGCTCCTGTGAGACCCTCAAGCTACAGTGACTGGAGGGAACACCGCAGCACTCTTGCCATGGGAGAGTCAGATAATCACAGTTCACAACTGCCATTTGTCTTTGGGGAAGTTTCTATGGCTTTCCTGTAGCTACTTGCCTTAAATCACGCAGGATCTATTTGCCCTAAAGGGAAATCTCTGGTGGATCTGTGTGTGTGAAAGCCTTGGTTTTCCACTTCTCTGGAACTGTGGCAGAAGAAATGGCCCTGACCCCTGAATAACCTATTTGAATGAGTATGTGCCTCCTCTGGTCTGCACACACTGGCGGCAGTAAAAAACACGTTTTCCTGTCTCAGACACTTCAAAACGAGGTACCTGCAGAGCTGAGGAGATATCTTCCTTTTCTCCCTTATGTCTAACAAAGCGACACTGGCTATGGGCTTTGTGGTGTCTCACAGGGTTGGTGACATGACTGATTTATAACATCTTATTTGGGACTTCAGATGCTGTAGTCTGCAAGGGACCTTCATCTGCCTGGTCTTTCAGGCTGCAGTATGTTGCATCTCCCCTGGCAGCCAAATGCATGTGGTGGGCAAATCCTCCTGTAGTACCACATTTGTGGGCATACCATCCTGGGATGGAGATTCTCTCCTACCTGCTGGTTAACTTACACCCTGATGTAGCTGCTCTTTCTTCACTGAAGGTCAAAGTTCCTGTTGCATTCAAAGGACACAAGTGAGCCTTAAGTTTAGATGGTGTCATGGGGTAATGATCTTTGAAAGTACTCAGTCATAGTTTTATTGTTCTGTAGAGTTAGATTAATGATTGCGTGAGTTTTCCATGAAAAATGGGATAAATTTGATCCTATTAAAAATACAAATGAAATTGCTTCTAAAAAAAGGCAGCAGTGTGTCCATTTCATGTGCTAACATGCAGTGGACATGGTTTCTGCCATGCAATTAACATATTATTCTGATGAAGAAAACAAAGATTTGACTAGTGTAGTCCTTAGATATACCATCTATATGGATGCTGTTTATCTTTTTTTAATGGAATTTCCACTTGCAGGTTTGTTCACCTCAGTTTCCAAGGAAAAGCTCATTTAATCTTGCATAATGCATTGCACTGGTTTGCAGACTTCTAAGGAATGTTGAACCTTTTTCTTTCCATCTCTCTTCCCCCCCCAAGATGCAAACCCTCTTTTCTATACTTTGCATATAAACAGTCATCCAGTAAAAATTTTAGCGATTCTTAAGTTTCACAGATTATGGTTAAAAGCAGATATTAAAAGTGTATTTGTTGGTACTTGTATGATATACAGTGCAGGATGTGCTGTTGTGTAGGTTGTAGAAAGTCAAATTTCATGCCTGAAACCAAAGGAAAAATTGCTTTGATCACCCCACCTTTAGCTGGGGAGACTGGGGAAGGAGGAGTGTGTTGAAGGTGTCTGCCAAAATGCAATTTGTAATCAGAGATTTGCTGGAGGGGGTGGAAACAGACAAAAGTAATTGTTAATATGTAATCTTTCCCTTAAAGCATAATCTTTAACTTTGAAACTTGCACTGAGATGTAACTGAACTTTACAGGAAGTTCATATTATTCAGTGGATATTAATGTGAGTACAGTGTGAGCAGTGCCCAGCTGGTTTGTTAAAGGGCAGAGTTTAGCTCAGGAAGAACTCTCAACTCCTAGGGAGGAGGAGCTGCTCTCTCTTGTGGAAACCAGATGTAGCCTGACAGCTTCCCACTGCTGACTGTGCAATGTGAGCCTCCTCCTGGGCTGAAAAAATCAGTTCAGAGCCAGTGCCTACAGAACCACCACCATAACAAGGCTGTGTATTTAGGAGCGCCTCAAATATAAGCCTTGCACTGCAGTGGTGTCTGAGCACACTGGGTAGTTCAGAAAACTGACAGAAATCTTTTCAGCTTGAGTGTTCGTTAACATGTGCTCTGGTCTAGTCCAGGGGCCACCAAAGCACGTGTTCGTGTTGGTACCCTTGAGTTGAGGTTGCACAGACACTAAAATCCTCAACAAGTCACACCAACATCTCACTTGGGTCCACTTTGCTCCTGCAGTCCATCACCCTCTGGCCCCTTGCCAGTCTCTGGGTGTCCTGTTCCTCGGCAGCAGTGGCTACTTAGGGGCTGGACCTGGGTCAAGTCTCCAACGGTTTGTTCTCCCTTTAGGCTGGATGTGTTCCTTGGTCGGGCTGACAGCAGAGCCGCCTGGTTGCGGGTGCTGGAGGAGCAGTGCACCACAGGGAAGGGCAGGATCATTTGTGGTGGGGAAAGCAGGGATTTATTGTGGGTTTAAATGACTGTGCAACCACAGCATGAGTACTGCTAACCTTAGGCATGCAAAAACTGTAAGTCAGGCTTTGGAATGACCTTCCTGTCTTCTTTTTTCCTTTTTCTTTCCTGATGTTTTTGTAGCATTTCAGATGTCCTCTAGTTTATAGGTAGGCATTTGTTTAGAAATTTGAAAGCTGGCTGGTTTGATCTGTAAATTTGTGAGGAAAATGATGAAAACTGTTGAGTCAATTCACAGCTGGATTCTCTGTTTGCATAATTAAGTGTTTCTGGTGTAACCTTTTACTCATAGTGATTCAGAGTTTTGAATTATATGTAATACATGGAAAAACTTGTTTAATGTAAATACCTTTATGACAATTAGTTTCTAAGAATTGGTGTTCAAGCAAATGTGATGCATTTGTGCTTGTTGAGTTGAGCAGTATGCTGTTGTCAGTTACTGTAACTGAGGGGCTGGCTGTGGATTTGCATTCAGATAAGAGCTGCGAAAGTGTGTGAAATTGGACAAATAATACTAATTATTGAGCAGATAATGGATTAATTAATTGGAGCAATACTTAGAAATGTAATAAGAAATCTTAATGCTATTTTGCTACTGCTTAGTTCCTGTATATAAAATGTGAAAGTTTTTCTCCCCCCAATTATGAATTTTAACCTTATTATAAGGTTCCATGGGATGGAAAGTGTGCTGAAAATTCTGAGAGCTGGGGGACTTGCTGTTATGCTGATTGCTGCTCTAGGTTTGTAAAGGTGCTTGCAGGCATACAGGTCTAAACAGGTCACTTCGATTTAAATTTTTAACCTTTTGTCTCTGTCCAAAAACCCCCTTTTCCACATACAGTCAGGAAGTTATGTATGTTTTTTAGACCCAAATACAGCTGCATAATGCTATAAATCTTCAAATCTGATTTTATATTTTTCGACAACTGAATTTCTGGACCAAACAGCTCTCCATATATTGCAAATAACTCTGGGAATATTTTGAAATCCATCTCTTTTAAGAACAATCTGTAATTTTAGTAAGGTGATTCGACCTCTCATGGCCTATTTGTGTGAGGAGGAGTCTTCTGTGAACACTCTCTTATGAAGCAGCACTGGTAGTTGTATGAAAGCTCTGGGTGGTCTTTAGTTTTTATTGTGCCAGTCAGGGTTTGAGAGTGCGACAACAGTGCACTACAAGCAGCGCTGCCTGCATTGTGCTTAAAGTAAAAGCTACTTAAAAGCATCAGTAGTCTGGTTTTCTGTCTGTCTTAGTTCAAAAAGTCCTTTTCCCTAATATTTACCTCTGTTTCAGAAAAGGATTCCTAAAAGGTGTTGAAAAAGGTTCAGTAATTTTAAAACTCCCCCAAAAGTCCTGCCTCAAAGTTCTGCCTTTTTCCGTCTTTCTGATAGTGTTACGAAGGGTTGCAGCTGGTGTCACTTGACTGTTGCTGGTGGTGCCTAGGTACTGATGATGGCAAACCGGAAAACCATACAAATGTATCTTGCTCTAGCAGAAAAGGAGGGATGTGATCCTAGTCCTGAGTGTTGCAAAATCAGATTAGTCAGCATTATGTTACTTGTTCTCTGCCGGTGGCTCTAGTGACACCCTCCTGGACGGGACTGGTATGTAAAGAAAGGGGGATTGCTGATGTGTAGCATGCTTTGGGCAACCGGAGCTGCCAGTGCAATCTTTAGAGGTCAGCTTCAGCTATGAGTTGTACTCTGCATCCTCCTCTGCCCTGAGGTTCAGGGAGAGGAAAGACAGTTCTAGAGTGACCATCTCCACCAGCTGGAGTGCTGAGCTGGAGCAGACAATGTGGTCATCTTGCTTTGCAGCTAAAGAAACTTCCTGCTGAAGTGCTGAAATGTGCTGAAATACCTATATCCTTGTCTGGGCAGGACAAAAGCTGAAGCCAGATATTCAGGAGATGTTCCCTTGCATTAAAGAAACCCACAAACTGAAACTGAATAACCCACAAGGAAAAAAAAAAAAAAAAAAGAGATCCACCACAATAACCCTCTGTCCTGCCTTCAGCTTGGATAGAGTTAATTTTCTCCCTAGTAGCTGGTGCAGTGCTGAGTTTTAGCTTCAGTCTGAGAACAATGCTGATGATAACACATCAGTGTTTTAGTTGTTGCTCTGTAACACCCTGATCAAGGACTGCTCAGGCTCTCATGTTCTAGCAATGAGGAGGGGCACAAGAAGCCAGGAAGAAGCAGGGACAGGACACGTGACCCAAATTAGCTAAAGGGGTATTCCATACCACAGCACGTCATGCCTAGTATATAAACTGGGGGGAGTCACCTGGAAGGGCAGATCACTTGCTCGGGTTGGGCTGGGTATCGGTCAGTGGCTGGGTTTATTGTTTTTTTCCCTTTTAGTTTTATATTATTTTCCCTTGTTATTTCCCTTGTTAGTATTAGTATTAGTAGTAGTATTAGTATTAGTAGTATATATTGCACTTGAGTTATTAAGCTGTTCTCATATCAACCTGCAGGTTTTACATTCTTTTGATTCTCCATCCTGCCTGGGAAAAGCTAAGGTGAGGGTTTAAACCAACTGTGTTTAAACCATGACGCCCTTGTGTAGATGTGAGCAGATTAGCAATCTGCTTTGAGGGGAAAAATACCCAAGCAAATCCACAAACCCTGAGGTATTTCACATCATGCCAGTCTTCTCTGGTTTATGTGGAAACTTGGACTCAACGTTTTTATATTCTGGTTGGCTCTGCTCCATGTTGTTAGCGCTCTAGGTCCGGTGAATACCAACTTAAAACACATTAAAAGTTGAACTCTGAAAATATATGCAAGTGTTGACTTCCCAATTAATATTATATTTCATTATTTCTCTGTTCACTGTATCTTAGTGACACTTTCTGCTGCCACTCCTGCTTACTTTCGAGGATTCACGTTGATAGCCCTTAAAGAAGGAAAAGAAGGTGACAAAGAAGATGACCATGCAGGAAGTTTTCAGGTGAGAGAACTTTGCTGACCTGCACCTCTAGGAGTCTTCCTTACTGCATGCTTGGCTCAAAGGGTGATGTTACACACACAGCAGAATGCAGACAATGTTGTGTAAGCACAAATATTTGTGGAAGTTGACGTGAGAACAACATGGCATATTTTATATTCGATGCAGCCTCTTAAAGAGGTCAAGACTTTTGTGCCTTGACTTCAGACTGCCTTCTCACATTCTTAGTTAAAAATAAGCATTAATTGTTTGAACTAGAGGCTAGGACACCAGCATTTGTTATCCAAATAATATGAAAATTGCTTTGTTCACATTTTGCTTTTTGTGTTTCTTTGCCTAGATATTTTTGTCCATTCAGATGTAGATTATGACTCTGAGAAGTGCTTGCCACAGCTATAATTACTACTTTATCAGTCATAAATTAGATTCTGCTGTTTTATTGATGCTCTGTAGTATTTTACTTAACAAACACATTCAGCGGGATGAAATGTTGTTTATCCTTATTAAAATGATCAGAATCCAGAGTGATGATTCACGTAATAGTGTTTCCAGCTAATTCAAGATCACATTGCATGAAAGGAATTCTGGAAATTGAGAATACAGTTCATATTTCTGAAAGTAGGTAGAAATGATGTAGTTCTGTTGTTTGTTGATTCTAAGATGAAGCATTGTTTGCTATTTGACTTTCCAAACTTAGAAAAAATGTTGAATGATACTGACTATAACTTACAGGATGGGTAATAACATTGATAATAATAACAGTTTATAGAAAATTATGCTTACCTCAAAGAATAAGTTCTATATATTTAAGGGAAATACTCTAAAGTTCTAATATTGGTGATCTACAAGGGGACAGAAACCAACTTAATCCTAGCAGCTCTTCCTGAAGCATCTTGTGGTTTTTGTGTACAACAAATACAATATGCAAACTCTACATGTATTTGCCCTTAGTTTGCCTAGAGGCCTTTCTGCTTTTTATCAGAAAATCTAGAATAAGTGCGAACTTATTTGATATTGGAATAACTCCATCATCCTTGATATTAAACAATTTCCTAATAGCATTTGAGTGAAATATTTTTAGTTTTCTTAGGTTGTTTTTTTTTTTAGTTTTTTTTTTTTTTAAAGCATAAGCTAGCATTGAAACATCAGCTGCTGTTCAGGAGTGGAAATGGCATTGTTTTATCTGTTTTAAAAGAAACTTGTCACCATTCATTTCTGTATTTTAGTTGTTAATATCTCTCTAGCTGTGGGTTATGGGAAAGACTTGGCCTGACTTTTGCCTTTATGGCTAGGCATATTTCTAACTCAGTGCAGTGAGAACCTCACTAAGCTTTGCTGAAGTACAGAGGAATTGAAAGTGAGCAGAGTGGGATGCAAATGGAAAATCTGTATAGGTCAAAAAAAAAAAAAAAAGCCCAGTGGGTCTCAGTGGAAGGAAGATTGCTGAATTAGCTTTATTTTATGACTTGCAATCTGAAATCAGTATTCTTGTTGGTGGATGAGAGTTTCAAAGGCTCTCACTGTGCTCACCCCACATCAGCACAATTAACTGAAGTTCACTCAGGTAGTGTCTGCCAGTCTTGATGCAGATTTAAGATTCATACTGGAGTATCCAATGAATACTTACAATGATGAATACTGATGTCTCTTGTGTTGTGGCTAGGAACTAGAGAAGGAAAAATGTTTAGCTCAAGGGTTTGTGCTGCTTTTATTATAATGTGGAGGTCCTCATGGTGTCTGAGCAGCTGTGCAGTGGAATTAAAACCTGTGTGTGCAATAACTTTCACATTGCTCACTGTTACATTTTTCCTGTGCTCAGATGGAGAAAAGGTTATTCAATGAATTACTCAGTGGAACAGAACTCAGTGAAAATTCCTTAATAGTGGCAAGAAACTAAATGCTACTGCTGGACTACTGGCATAAACCTCCGCCTCCATGAGGAGACACATAAACTCTTCAAATGATAGTCAAGGCAAAGCATGTGAATGCACTGCATGAAGCGGAGTGCTTTATTCATGTTAACAAGACTTTGCAGTATAGCCAGGATAGAAAGAAATGAAAGTTGACCACAAAAAGCATGTCTTCCCCCATGCTTTACAGATTGTAATCCACCTTATTTTCAAGCCTGTGAGCATCACTTTCAGGTCATGAAGCGTGTGTTGTAATGCTTTTGGTGGGGAAAACCTGAATCCATGCTCTGCACTCAGGTCAAGATTCTGTTGGGGCTGTGGCTTCTGTTTTACACAGCTATAGAGTTTTAAACTGATCAACAAATGTAGTGCCTCAAAGCACTGGAAAGGGGCACATGCTAGAGCAACAAGGTGTTAAGGGCTGACATCTCAGTGACTGGTGTGGACATTGTACACTCGGGCTGGAAGAACACTTTTTAGCAGTTGTGGTCATGCTGCAGCAGTTCGAGTGCTGCAGCCCACTGCAAAGGGTGACTTGCAGTAAGCAGCTGCCATGACTTGCCTCTGCAGGGGCTTTGCTCTGCTTTTTACAACCTTCTTATGGTTCATTTACTTCTGTCTGACACTGCGAGTCAGCAGGAACGGTCAATCTTCATTAATCATTAAGCTGCAGGGTCTTGGTCCTATAAATAGCACAGCTGTTAAAAAAGTTCTTGGACAGACAGGTATTTTTGGGTTTTGTATTCTGGTGGGAGTTTTTTGTTTGTTGTTTTTTGGTGGTTGTTTTTATTTTTTTGTTTTTCTTTTTTTTTTTTGCTACTTATGGTTACCTTTATACTTGCCATGGAGCAGAGACCCTTAGGGAAGTGTAGTTTGGATTCTGCCATCCTAAATCTGTTTTCCTCTGAGAAAGTTGAGGCTTTTAAATCTGATTTTACTACTGTTTATTTAATGCTTTGACACTTGTTTTTCTTTGTCCTTTTATCACACCCAGTGCACAATTTGTCTCTAAAACAATCGACTGATATTGTCTCCCACAATTGTGTAAACGTATGTTAAATAGCTAAATTAAATATGGTTGGGGAGTTAAAGATGCCAAATTCAGTCATAGAAGTCTGGGGATATTATAACACGGCTCTTACACCAATAGTAATTGTAGAACTCAGGGGCACAGTGCACACTTTGAAAGCTTTGGTTATCATGTCCTGTTGGCTTCTTTACATAAGCCGTTCCCAACTGTTGTCATGCAGATTGCTGATCTGTCTCTTTCTTGATGTTTAGCAACAGTCTGGAAATTGTTTGAAGGCAGATTATACTCTAAGGCAACAATCAAGCACTGATTGTCTATAGGATAGTACCTAAACTGGCCTTCTTAATCATCATATGTATGCAGTGTAATAGATTGAGTCTGGTAAATAACATAGAATACTAGCAATGTAGTTCTGACCCTCATCTCGTCTATCTCCCTTGTTTTATGAGAAAGAATAAATATCCCAAGAGAACTCTTGGTGGATGTTTTCTGAATCTGTTCTGAAGAGGTGTTCAACGCCACCAAAAACTTCATCTCTTGATGTGGCCTGTTCAAGCTTTAAATAATGTCTAAACTGGAACTTCATTAATAGTGTTTATATTGCTCTCATAATATTTTCTTCCTAAATTAAGAATTTGCTTGGTATTTTGAGACAGTTATTACGAAGTTTCCCCTGTTCTCTCTCCAACTTCACATACACTCTGCCTCTTTCTTGTTAAAATTTCCATATTTTCATTGTAGGGCATCTTTTTTTTTAATTTTGTCATTTCTGCAGCTGAGAGTTCAGTCTTATTTATAACCCCCTGAAAATAGTCAGTCTGGACCCTCAGCATAGAATAATGTAGGATTCAGATAAAATAATCCTTGGGAGCATCATAATTTCTTCACTTGTCTCCATGCAGAATCCCCTAAAGGTACTAAATGTGCCTCTATTGCAGGAGCATCACAGCATTGGTCAGGAGGTCCATGATAAAAGTCCTAAATCCTTTCCTGGATGTGTTGCTGCCTATGTTGTGATACCTCGTTTTCTGTCTGCATTTTGTTCTAAGTGCAGAGCTTTGCTGAATTTATAAAAAGTTCTAAACTACAATCTTATCCTCCAAAGTGCTCACCATTCATCCAAAAATTGGTGCTATTTGTGGACTTTATAAGTACATGTTTGAAAATTAATGTGAAATATTGTGTGCAAATGTGACCTGCTTTTCTCATGTACAGTGATAAACTGAGTCATAAAGACTCAAAATTAGAACCTTATCTGTATTGCTTTGCATGATCATTTGTTACATACTTACGTCCACTATTTTTGTGGGAGTTCGGTGTTAAATGCATTTATTGTATTAGTATTTCTGGAGATGTCCTTTTGACTTATTTTTCTTTAGATTGAATTAAGCAATTCTTAGTTTAGGTTACCGAATTTAACGATCCACCAGTGCAAAACCACCACAAGAGCATAAGCAGGCACTGCAGTAGCACGAATGAAGGTTTCATTAAAAGTATGGCATTTGTGAAAAACGGGAATGTGTTCTGAAGAAGAAAACATTTCAGGAAAGCTAGAGTAGTAGTGAGCTAAGTGAGGAAAGTGGTCTTTTATTCTAAGTTCTCCTCGGGGCTTACCCTGAAACAATAGCCCAACCTTTGTTTCGTTGCCTTTGCTGTTGAAGACGTGCTGACTGGTGACCAGGTCTTTTGAATTGTTTAGCTGACTGATGTGCTTACTAAAGCTTTTAGATTAAAAGATGTTTTTACAAGCTCTTAGAAAAGTAGCTCCTCAGTTGCAGTGTTCCAGCATTTTACAGGAATTTGACAGCTTTTTAAGTAATCAATATCACTGCAGTTTGAAAGAAGCAGTCTTAAAAGGCTTTTAGCCATGTCTCACGATTTATTTATACTTATATTTATAGGCAAAGCCTGTTTATAGTTTTCTTAAAATTAATGACTGCAATTATTAAGCTTTTTATATTAAAATTAAGCTATACTTACGTAATCTTGATGTTGCACAGAACTTGTATTTTGTTGTGGTTTTTTTTTTTATTTAACCTTGTATCCCAATAAAAGCACATCGG